TGTGAATATAGGAGGTATGGTTAGTAAATTTGCAGATGACACGAAAATTGGTGGTGTAGTGGACAGTAAAGAAGATTATCTCAGAGTACAACGGAACCTTGATCAGACGGGCCAATGAGCCAAGGAGTGGCAAATGGAGTTGAAAAGTGAGGTGTTGCATTTTGATAAGGCAAACCAGGGCTTATACAGTTAATGGTAGGGCCCTGGGGAATGTTGCTGAATAAAGAGATGTAGGGGTGCAGGTTCTTAGTTCCTGGACAGTGGAGTTGCAAGTAGATAGGGTGGTGAAAAAGGCATTAGGCACACTCATCCTTGTTGGTCAGCATATTGAGTATAGGAGTTGGGATGCCATATTGCGGCTATACAGGACATTAATGAGACCACTTTTAGAATACTGCATTCAATTCTGGTCTCCCTGCTGTAGGAAAGATGTTGTTAAACTTTAAACAGTGCAGAAAAGATTTACAAGAATGTTGCTGGCATTGGAGAGTTTGAGCTATAAGGAGATGCTGAACAAGCTGGGGCTTTTTTCCCTTCAGTGTTGGCGGCTGAGAAGTGATCTTAAAGAGGCCTATGCAATCATGAGGGGTATAGCCAAGGTTATTTTCCTAGGGTAGTGGAGTCCAAAACTAGAGGGCATAAGTTTAAGATGGGATGGGAAAGATTTAAAAAGGACTTGAGGGGTAAATTTGCTCTATTGTCTCCGCCCACTTATATGTTGAGAGCCCCCTTACAATTTTTAACCCCTTCATATCTCAGCATTCTGATTCCAATCCTCACAATTGAGTTTCCCAACTTCCCTCCTGCAGCAGTGATCTCTGATAAACACGCCATAGTGTTTAATAAATGTACTCCCAGAACAGACTGAGGCCCAGCTCCTTGACCAACTTGAATGGACAACTCTGACTCATGCCTAACCATTCCCCTGACTGGTCTTTGTGCTGTTTCCAATTGATGTCCTGGATTGTTTGCAGTAGACACACAGGGCTTGCAGACTGTAGAGGTTCAGACTCGGGTCCGATGTCCAACTGACCGTGCCCAATCCCCCAGATTGATGATTGGAGGCTGCTCTTAACTTACTATGCTGGGAAACCCTGACTGAAGGATGTGAGATCAACTCCCTTTAGACTTTGAGATAAGGCCATTTGTTTGAAATATGGGCAGTTTGTTTGCCACTATACACAACAGCAACATTCCAGTGAAAGGTGCTGGTACACTCTGAAGTGCAGCATGGAAGTGTTGGACTTAAGTCTTAAGGCTGGTATATTTTGGTTGCTAATGTTCCTGTACAAGCGAGGTTGGGAAAGGTGGTGCCCATAAAGCGTGCTCTGCGGTCTTGGTGACTGGTGTGCAAGCTGGGGGGCTGGAGGAGCAAGCGATAAGCTGGAATACCGAGTAGCTGCTCTTTCATGTTGGGAATTGTCACCATCTAGTTTCTATTTGGCAGGAGAGAGAATATGAAACAGCATATAAATGAGATGAGATTAACTAATAATGAAGTGCATGTTAATTGTCCTTTTGCCATTCATTAGGAAGAATTTCATCTCGCCACTAAACACATGGTTGGAATAGTAGTCTTTTCGCTCTCAATGTTGAAAAACTCCTCAGTGCTGATGTCTCAGGATTTTCCCAACTTTCTTCCCAGTGCCTGGGAACATTGTGTCCTCTGTGACTGTGATGGAATGTTGAATTAGTATCTACCTCTTAAGAGGAGATGTTAATCAATAACTACTTTAGATTTCATTTTCTCAAAGCTACTTTCTCCTTCAATGCAAAATTCACCCTGTTGTGTTACATTCAAGTAAAGTCAAAGAAGCCCACAAACAGAAGCATCAGGTGCCCTTTGTGAGGCTTACTTTCTTCATTACCTACTTACACAACATGTTGTAAATAAAGGGAAACACACATATTTTCGGAGGAGTACTTGTTTATTCTTCTAACTTTTACAAACCACTGTATTTGAGAAACAGAAAACTTTTTTCAAAGTTGAGGGATGGAACAGTATTGCGTATATACATTCTGCCAGTCCAGTTTATAATAAATATGGTTTTAAATAGAAAGGACTTTTTCATTCAGAGTACAAAGATATTTTGGTATGGACCACTTGGAAGAATCTGAAACCACTAAAGAAATAAATATTTCTTTTCTTCTGTGAAAAAGTATTTACATAAAATATTATACACACTCACACTCTCGACATCACACAGCAACCAAATGATTTGGTCTCACTTGCATTTATAGGTTCGCTGAGAACAGAGTTACTACAACTCAGAAAATTCAGGCACTTTAATAATTTGGTGGCTGTAGTCAAGAAAGAATTTTAAAATGAACTTACATTGGACTAAAACCACTATATAGGCCACACTATTCTTTAAATTTGATCTCACAAGCTGTATTTTAACTAGAACCAGATGAAGATGGTGGGCTAGATTGTACCACACAATGAATTAAATTCAAATCAGCTTCATGTGTACATGCTTAAATGAAGAATCTTGAATAACAGCATGTACTTCAGCTTCTCTATCCCTCATCTAACTGCAGAGGCTTCTAAACTTCATTGTAATAAATCTGACACAGAATGCAGTTATCTGGTATTCCTGCCACTAATACCTCTCAATAAAATAAAAGTGAACTCTGTCTCTCAAAATGGGATCTGATGCAGTATTTAGACTTATTAAAGGCAATGCAAAAGGTCAATTTTGACTATTCAATGGATCAAGCAGCACATTATTGTGGGGAAAATGAGTTAAAGGCACTGTAAAGTCAGGGTTCCACTGCTCGCCCAGTCTAACTTTATTTACATTTGCTTGACATTTGGACTAAACATAAATGATTATTCAGGATTGATGTGAAGGATATCTTAATACTTGCTACACCCATTTGTAAATTATTTGCTGATTGCTGAATTTTCTATTGTTTTCTTATTTGAAGGCATAATTTGTTTCATAATAATTGGCCCTTGACATGTTTATGCCTGCAAAATTCTCACGCATAGTTTATTAAATGGCTTCTCAAGGCTACAGTGAAAGGTCATCCTGAGTAAGCTATAGTAACAACATGGGTGTATGGACTTTATGTACCATATATGCCATTCTCCGGGAAAGTCAGTAGGTTGACAGGTAAGTGATGGGAGAAATGAGTTGTGTGTTACTTATAATTTATTACATCCAATGTTATCGGCCTTTCAATTGTCAGAAGCCAATTGTCTCCTTCCTTAACTGGATGCTGTAGAGTTGTGAGGGAAGGAATCTTCTCACTTCAGTTTTCTTCTTGGCTTTCATGACCATTTTTAGGTTGCAACCTAGAGCAGCAGGCTTCCTGTTTATTCTTTTTCAGAGCAAAGCAATTCAGAACCCACCTTCTAATTAAAGGCATTATGCTTAGAGAAGCTCAAGGGACTTGGAATTTTCAGGCAGCAGCACACATGGGAGTGGTTAGGAGCCTGGAAAAGCTGACCCCTGGGTCTGTAGTGAGGTAAATTTTCCCAAGGATAGGAAGAAGAGAACAGCTTCTTCACCCAACCAGGAATGGATAGAAGTGGCCTAGGAAACAAGCAGAAGCAGTGGGATCTTCGAACCTGCAGGCAATGGACAAGGATGCTCCAGAACCTCAGGAATGCATGTTTGGTAAGGGGCCACGAACTCTGACTTGCACAATACATCTCAAAAGACATCTACAGTTCCATTAATTCCTGTCACTGCAGACACATTGTATCTCCATCTGAGCAACCTAAACTCAAACTAACCCTCAGCCATATTGCCCCTTGAAACCAAGCTACAGATACCATACATACATTCTGTACATTAATACTTTGAACATAAGGCATTCCTAACACAAGCACACACACACAACAATTTACTACAACCTGATAAGCATCAAGGGACATGGAGTTGTTGGAAGTGGGAATTGGTGGTATAAAGTGGAAATGACAGATGACTTGTCAGCTATTGGCAGTTCATGACCACCATGCCTATGCTGAGATGATTGATATTTTGTCTGTAGATGTTTACTTGGGACATCACCTAGTTATTGATGAATCTCGATGTCCATATTGTGTGCCCTATGGAGGTGTACATTGGTGTGGGTAGAAGAGCTGGAAGCCCTGCTGCTTTACTGTAGCTGCTTCTGGGCTATGTAGCATTGAAACAATCCCAGCCCCAGAATTTCAACAGAAGGAAGCCGCGTAGCTGCACAGCTACTTCCATTTGCTCAAAAAGCTGGTTTCAGGGAAGTGAAAGTGAGGCTGAGTGAATTACTGGACATGTAGACTCCAGCTAGGTTCCCCTGTCATTAGGCCAATTGTGCCACTGATATTTTACAAATGACGAGTGGTAGAGGGCCACCCACGCTATAGCACCAGCCATACACTCAAGAAAGATCCACCTCACTCCTGCCTGAATGGGCCCAATGTGCCCAACTAAACTTACCTGCATTCCCAGGTCTCTCCTACCACTGCTACTGCTCCCTGGTTGCAGCTTCAAGCAGTTGCTACCTGATCCATCCATTTGGCCAGGAGCCCTTGGTGCTGGGCCCTATGGAGCTGCAAGTAACATCAGGCTGGTGCTTTCATAACCAACCTAGGTGGTGTTACCCCTGAATCTTTGACCAGTAGATACAGTCAGCACTTTGCCTTAAAATACTGGACCATGTGCATGTTGTTGACAACTCATCTACATAAATGCACGTCAATCCTTAAAATAAAATCTATTTTTGGAAGAGAAGTTTGGGTGACTACTCTAAATGAATTAACTAAATTTCCATGGAGAACTGCAGTCTGTGTAATCATAGAATCCCTACAGTGTGGAAACAGGCCTTTCAACCCAAGTCCACACCGGCCCTCAGAGCAACCCACCCAGACGTATCCCCCTATAACCCACCTAATCTACACATCCCTGAACACCATGGGCAATTTAGCATGGCCAATCCACCTAGCCTGCAAATCTTTGGACTGTGGGAGGAAACCGGAACACCTAGAGGAAATCCACGTAGTCATGGGGAGAATGTGCAAACTCCACACAGAGAGTTGCCCGAGGGTGGAATCAAACCCGGGTTCTTGGTGCTTTGAGGCAGCAGTGCTCACCACTGAGCCACCGTGCCACGTATGCAGTGACAAGATACAATTTATGCATAGGCACACTATTCCATTATTTGAGAATCACTCATGGTATTCTGTAAAATTCTCTGTTGCTATTTAGAGATAATGCACAACTATGCCTTTTTTTAATGATGCAGTTCCCAGTCAGTAAATACAAGTTCAAAGGTGTGTTTGTAGTTTGTGGCACCCATACCATTGCAAGGAAATAGCAGGGCTACCTGATCCGTGAGAGATTACTGAACAAGATGAGTCAGAAATGAAAAACAGGACCTTAAAAATGTTACTGAAAATATAGATCTTGAATTAACTTTAAAAAAAACATGAAGATTGGATGATTGCTTTATTCAGAACAGGTTTGTGTAACAGCAACTTGGTAGAGCTATTTCCAGATTCATGATAAAAATGAAAATCTGGAAGCAATCATATCTTAGAAGGTAAATGATTTTTGAAGAGCAGTGTGAACTGGATTTTGTATACATTGTGAAAGTTTGATCTCAAACTCAATCTCATCATAATCTAATTTAAAGGATATATACAGTCTCAATGTTTTCAGGCCTGTAGCCTTAGTGTAAATCCCTAATCAGTAATTGAAGTGGTTTAGATTATTTTGGGGATCCAGGGTAAAGACTGGAATAAGAATACCACAACCTGGCAGTACCTCAGTTTTGAAATACAATTTTGTTTCTAAATCCCTCCATGGCCTCCCCCACCTCCAATGTCTGTAATCTCCTCCAGACCTACAATCCTGTGCTTCTCCAATTCTGGCCTCTTGCTCATCCCTACTTTAATCATAAATCTTGCCATCTCAATCTTCACATGTTTAAGGCTTTAGCTCAGGAATTTATTCCCTGTACCACTCTAGTTCTTTACTTTTATCTCCTACTTCAGGGTGTACCCCAACACCTACCTCTTTGAACAGGATTTTGCTCATCTTCCCTAATATCTCCTGAGTGCCATTTCATTTGATTATACTTCTATGAAGGACCTTGAGATGTTTTATATTATTAAAGGTGCTGTGTAAATGCAAGCTGTCCTTTTGTTATTAGCATTCATAATGAACAGCTTCAGATTGTTGTGGGTAGTCCAAGGTACAGGTTTTGTTTTGTTTTGAATATTGATTGAATAGGATCAATGGCTTGTTACCCATGAACTTACTAGAAGGCGAGAATGTAATACAATGCTAGGTTTCTGAATTGCAATTTATCGGACAGGACAGAGGAATGTAGAGACTTGCTTTACTCCTTGTGTAGTAAATCATAAATATGACCTTTATGCTTGTTTACGATTACATAGAGGATTCAGCACAGAAACAGGTCATTTGGCCCAACTGGTTTGTAGCAACTTTTTATTCTGCATCCTCCTCCCTTATATCTTCTTCTATCAGCATAACTCTTTATTTCTCTCTCCCTCATTTGTTGATCTAGCTTTTCCTTAAATGTGTTTATGCAATTTGCCTCAGCAAGTTCCACGTAAAGATGTTTCTCCTAAATTCTCCTTTTGATTTTATTGATGATTGTCTTATTTTTATGGCTTCGGTTGAGACCACACATGGAAACATTTCCTATATGTCTACCCTATCAAATCCCTGTAAATTTTCAAAGACCTTGAGCCTCTTTCTCTGGAGACATGAATTTGAGGCTTTTCAGCCTTTCTTAGTAAGTATATCCTCCTCTGTTCTAGCATCATCCTTGTGTATCATTTGCATATCTTGTCTAGTACTGCTATATTCTTTTTATAATATGAAGACCAGAGCTGTGCACTATACTCCACAAGGAACTAAGAAACCTCAGGTGACCTGCAAGTGAATGTTTCAGGCTTCACACTTCTATTAATACCTCTTCATTTGCAGTGCTGTTATTTAACCTTAACTAAGGAAACAAAACAATCAACTTTCATATGTGTATTTCCAGTTTTCATAACTGCAGCTGCTGTGTGTCATTTTCAACCTTATGTCCTGGGTGTTATCTACTGTGCCAGGTTACCACCCAAACTGTGAGGTTGATAGTTCCACAGACCTCTGTCCTGGCCACTGACCCTTGCTGCAGAGGCTGACCTAATACTTCAGACCATTCCTGTTAACATGGGGCAAAAATATTAACTGTCTCAGCTATCTGACCACTGCCAACATAACTGAGATCCGCATTATACAGTGAGATTCTTTGAACAAATTCACCAATGACAGTCCTGCTATTTGTCCTTCAACCTCTGCATCACCCTTTCCTGCTGCCAAACCCTTGCCCCCACCTCCAAGATGTGCTAAGATCAAATTTAGAGTCCACCACCTCCCTGTTAATATCAGTTAACTCAACATAAATTCACAATCAAACTAGCCTCCCTCTCAGCCCCTAAATTCAGTACCTACATATTTAATATTCAAGGCAATTGCTGTTTTCTGTATTCCTGGCTTAAGAAAATAATCATTTTTTTCATGGTTAGTAAGAAAATATTTCTTTTTGTGGCAAAGTTTTTTTTGAACCATAATTCCAGAATTTTCCATGGAATCAGTTGTAGAACTGCTGATCTTCCAGTGAAGTTATGGGTCACAATTAACTATTAACCCAGAAATATCCAGTTATATTGATCTTTAGGCATGGTAATTGGGTTTGTTTTCCTGCTTATTAAGTAACAAAGAGGAATAAATCAACTATCAGGAAAAAATCCTCTCTCCACTAAAAATTACAATCTACCACCAAATACTTCTTATAATTCTGAGTTGTTTAATCCTTTAGGAGGCCATTCATACTCAGAAACTTTGTCTTTCTTTAATTAGAGCAAGAATGGCAATGTACAGTCAACCTTAAAAAATAAAAATCATTAAAAATAATTCAATTTACAGTTAAAATTTCCTTTTAAACAACCTCAGATCATTAGAGAAGTTGACATGTCACGAGGGATCCACGATTAGCAGTCTTCTCAACATCCATTAGATGGAGATTCTTTGTGGCTGGGGCTAATGACAGCCACACGCTCTGACCACCATATTCCTGTACTTTTTCAAGATAACGTTTGAGCTGTCGTCAAAGTAAAGAACAGATATGGCATTGAGCTGTGTGGGAGCGCAGCATGGCTTCGGGACATTTTCTGGGTTTATTAAATGAACCTGAATGTAAAATAGAGAGAAGAAAAGATGCTTCAAAGAAAATTAAAGTACACTTAACAATGGGCACAGTCCATGAACATACACAGTCCACACACATATATCTTTAAGCAAGAAGCTCATTGTAGGGTAGCATCTTTCAAGATAGGACAGGAGATCATTCCACATCTAATACAAGTGCTTCCTCTATTAAAACCACTGACTCTAAATGAGATGAAGCCAACTTCTAGCACCTTGCTCAATTAGTGCCTAGGTAAAAAAAACAGTAAAACCTGGAAGAGGCACTTATCGGTCCAACTTATCTTGTATGCCTGAAAACAGAACTCCATTATGCCCAGGATGTTCAGTTTTCAGTTTTACTGGTTTTGTACTTTTTATTCTCCTGAAATAGTGACTGTTTGCACTCTCCCAGTCCTAAATGCTTCCTGAGCCTATTTGTCATCCACTGCCATGTTTGCGTAATCTCCCTACACCAATATCTACCACCAAGATAACATGTGATCTCTCCTTTATTCCTTAAACAGACTCAATCTGTCTCCATCCACTACCAACCTTTTCCACCTGATTGAACATGATTTCATCTTGATTCACTTCTTTGATTCCAATCTTCTATCACTAAATAAGAAATGTTATCTTATGCCCAGACTACCAACTAGATTTTCCAATTGTTAAGAATTCAGCATTATCCAAACCATTAGGTTCCTGGGTGAGGAGCGATGAAGTAGCTTCCCTTCTTTATTCACCTGCACTCTGTTGTTTGCAACAAGTTTAATTTAGAAATGAATCCCTTCCCTTGTGGGTATCTCTCTGCCGAATGAAGTTATGTTTTAAAAAGAGCAAAGTTAAGCAGGCTTTTTTTGAGTTAACAAAGAGTGATTTTATTCATTAGTAAATACAATAAGAATTACGATGCAATACACATACAGGATTGGAAATAAGAGTAGAACCCAAAAACAAAATATCTTTTAAAAGAATGTAATTCAGCTCAATCTTTGCATTGTTCACAAATGGCAGATAGTTAAATGTCCTTGTCATTTCAAGGAAATTTATGGATAACATTGACATTGGCAGTTGAGCAGCTGATTTCAAGATTCTTAGGGTGGAGTCTTATAGGGGTCTGAGTGATGTGAGCCGTAGAGAGATGCATGGCACAGTCAGGCAAAAAGTGCAGTGAGGCTCCTTGCAACTTTGGGAATATCTCACACCAATGTCAGGCTTTTTCATAAGCAGTGTGAAGAGATTCTTGCTCAGCAGCAGCAAGATGTTAATTGACAGGGATGAATACTTGTCAAGTGACTTGTTAATGCCACAACTTGCTTTGTTAATATTTAGACTTCCATCTTATCAACTTGCCAAACAAGTTAGACATTGGGAAAATTTGATAAGGAAACAAGACAAGCACCTGGAGGATGCAGCTCACTGCATGCTCTGAATGACCTCGCAGTGGAAAATGGAGACCAACATCTCAGGGCATGCTTCATGGGCAATAGCCACATGCACTCCATATCCATGGATGTTGGCATCCAACATATGTCAGCTTCTAAGCGCTCCATGAAACATCTCTTACCCACTCATAGGACATTTTGTCACTCAAAACTGCACCTCAGCCTGCACTGGCAACAAGGACACACCCTGAGACATGCAGCCAGCTCATGGTCTGAACCAGGTTTCCTCCGGGTGCTCCAGTTTCCTCCCACAGTCCAGAGATGTGCAGGTTAGGTGGATTGGCCATGCTAAATTGCCCACAGAGTCCAGAGATGTGCAGGCAAGATGGATTACTTATGGGAAATGCAGGGTTACAGGGATAGGGTAGGTCTGGGTGGATGCTCTTCGCAGGGTCAGTGTGGACTTCTTGGGCTGAATGGCCTGTTTCCACATTGTAGGGATTCTGTGATTTAGCGCAGACACAAAGCCAAGTAACTTGTCATTGTGGCCAGTAGGCCTTAGTCAAGTCAACGAGGATAGCCTTGCCTCAGGGTTAATGGCACATTAATTCAAGAATAGCCATTGATATCAGTCCAGGCCTAGCTCAGCGTGGTCAGAGAAGGGTTGCTGTCCTTATCAGGGTGAGGCGCTGATTGATGTGCCACACATGTCTTCAGTCTTTCTCCCCAACTGGGGACTCTTTTCCTCTTCGAATGAGAGAGAGGCAGGCGTTGCAGAAGACAAAGAGGGGTGGCACAGCTATCGCCAATGGTGCAGGTGAGGAAGTGTCCTGAGCGAGCAATTAGACAGCACAGAGAGCGTGCAGGATTAGAGCTATCAGAGATTGGGTGGGTCAGAGTGGTGGAGCATGAGCCTTGATGGGAGGTGGGTACAGTAGCAGAGATGGAGTGAGTATGAGATATCGGAGAGAAGATGGTACCACTTATGCCTCCAGAGTGGAGAAGGACATTGAACTTCTTCCTACAGTGCCATGCATTCTTCCAGGTGTCTGAGGCTGATTTGTCCAAGGTGGCAATCTTGGATAAGGCCAGCATAGTGTAGTTTCATGGCATCTACTGCCTCATCCTGAAAGAAGAAGTTGTCTACCTCTACGCCACTGCATTGAGCAGGACCTCTAAGATCTTGCCCACAAATCAGAACACTGATTTCTGTCTGTCTGCCATGTCTAAGATAAATGTAAGGAGTTGTGCAGGGCAGCTCTGGACTGACAGCATTTGTCCAGGTGTATAACAAGCTTTTAAAGACGGTGCATGTACAAGCGATGTTGGTAAATTCTGGGATATCCAGTGAATGGAGAGTTGTTTGGGAAATGTGTGTGGTAAGATTGGGCAGAAGTCAGGTGTAAGAAATGTCATGGCACAGTGAGGATAATTAATGAGGTGAGTATAGTAAGACACAGCAGGAAAAGTCACTAGGCCTTGTGGCAAGCAACCCCTCCAAACAATTCATCAAAAGCCAGATTTAGATTCTGTCTATGGTATTGTATACTTGTGAAGCTTATGGTGTTCTGATTCCTTGAATCTTTACCTGAATTGTAACATTCAGAATGAGAGAGTCCTTTCATTGTCATGTTTCCTTTTGTCTGGCTTGATAGAATCTAGTATTCAGTGCGAGAGTTTCTTTACTTGCAACATGACGGTGACTAGATATAGTTCTTCAGCTGTGACTTTCGCAGCACTCTAATGCTCGAACCCAGGCTAGTGCACAGAGTTACCATAGCCCACTTGCACATACAAGAACCTTAGTCCCCATAGTACCACACAAGGGAACCTGAGTCCCATTAACACACCACAGTAAGATTGAAACTGGCATTTTAACCTCTGTGCTTGTGAGGAAACTGAACACCTTGAACATTTTTCATTAAATCAGGGGAAGCCAGCATAAATTCATGACACGTAGGCCTGACAAACCTCAATCCTAATACAGGGGATCTAGCCTGTTACCTTTGAATTTCTCTCCAGAGCTGCTGCTTAACCTGCTGAGCATTTCTAGTGCTTCCTGTTCTTATTAACTTTTCAGCATATGCATTAATTCCCTTTTGTATTAACAATGGCAGGTTATTGATTTGGCATTGCAGCCAAGCCTGATTTCAGTCCCAGCTGACCTTATTGTATATGCATGGAGCTGGTCAGATTTTGAACAAGGAATTGTTTTAATGTACAAACTTTCCAACACAACTCACTGCATTAGCAGTAAAAGCTCTACTTAGCCATGGGGCACTAAGGACAACTGTCGCACCCAACATGCAATCACTCACGTCATGTAGTCACTCACCATACCACTGTGCAAGCAGCATAGCCTGTGTGTGTATGCAAAGCTACTCAAATTTTCAGCTACTAATCATCATAACCAAAACCATCCAACAGTGGCAGAACACATATAAAGTGCAACTCATCTTTCTGCCTCCGTGATATGGTCCAGTGAGGCAGGGTTGTGGTTTAGAATTCCCTACAACCTGTCTTATTCATGGTGTGGCAGAATTGAGGTTAAGCTTATAGCTTCAGAAGCTGCAAATTGAACACATTAAGATATAATGTTCCCTCCAGTGGCAATGGTTAGGTGCAGTCAAGAGGTGTCACAATGTGGGAATGCAACCGGTTTTTAACCATAGCGTAAAATAGGTAACATACACTGGTAGTGGTGTAATATACTATCACTTGATTAGTAATTCATAGTCCTAGACTAACACTCTGGGTCACAAGTTCAAATCCCTCCATTAAAAATTATCGAACATAAATTCCATCAATAACTCTGGAATGTAAAGCTAGTTTCAGTAATGGTGAAGATGAAATTATCATTGACTGTTGTAAAACCTCACCTGGTTTATAAAATGGGCAACATTGAGTTGGATGTCTGTTTCTTTTCCTTCGAGGTCAGTAGAAACTAAATTCAGATTGGGTGTAAAATGGACTGCCAATATGCTACTACCTGGTTTGCATCATTGCCAAAAGATCTAATTCACCTGTTTCCATGTCAAATAAATTTCAATGTTGTAAATTCAGCCTATTTTGTCTTTAGACCCAGCCAATCCTTGTTAGCATTGATCATCCACACAAATGATATCCTAATCAATGTTCCCTGCAATATTACAGCTGCATCACAACCCAGATGTTCTGGTCTAGGATATGCACATTTTTATCTGACTGCACAGATTTGGCTTGCAGAAAATTAAATGATTCTGTGCATTCAAAGAAATCAGCTGTGTCATACAAAAAATATCTGCTGGTATTTTGATCCTAGTCTTAGTTGCCTCCCTGTTCCTATGTGCCTTTTTTTTTCCAACTATACAAGTATCCTATTTCTAAATAGTGAAATGTTCTCTCAGTTCTCTGATAACCAATTCTGATAGTGTATTCCATAGCCTTGCATTTTAGGACCTGAAGGTAAAAGGACAATATCTGATGTCAACCTCTTTTTAAAAATGAGGGCATGAATGTGTTATTCTTGACTTATTTGGGTTACTGTTTCAAATTTTCAGGCTGTAATTTTGCATACTTTGTAAGATGTCACCTTACTCACAGAGACATGGAATCATACAGCATGGTGACAGACCCTTT